AAATTATCAGCATTCTTTTAATATAGTTATGTTATAGTGAAAGTGCAGATAATTGTTTGATTTGCCCTCGTATTATCTGTGAACTGTCACAATTTCTTGGATGGGTAATGTCATGGTTTCCAGATGCCTTCTCCACGGATTGGAATTCAGAATTGTCCTTTTTCTAGACTGAGTCAAAGCTAGAGAATCTAGTCAACGCTGCTATAACCGGGAGGAGAAATGGTGGATTCTTGCTTTTCTCAAAGCTATTAGTGCGAAAGGGAACGCAAGAGATTATGTCAGGAATTGAACTTAGCTCGGTGATTCCACTTTCCGAGCCCATAGCCCTCACATCACAAATTTGTATTTTGTTGTGTAAAATAAGTGACAAAAATATTAACATTTAGAATGCCATCAGATTTTTTTCAACCATTTCACCCCAGGCAAGGCGATAATACCACCAGTACGCATGGGGTTAGTGGGAGTCAAAGAGAATGAGAAGACTTTAGTGAGAAGATATGAAGATAAAGGACTATAGAAGAACAGGGTTCAGTTTCGTTTGGTTTGATTTGTTTTACGGTATATCAACCTCTATGGGTTATTTAATGCCGACAATTTTTTTTATTGCTGGTAATAATTTTTTTTCCTCAAACATTCATTTCCGGATAATAACCTTTTGCAAAAATGTATTTCTGGTATGAAAATTTATTTTTACACTTTCATAGCGTTTCGACCCCAGTGTGGGGGTCAACTCTTTACCTATAGCTAGAACCCTAACAGGTGCTACCACCCCGGGTCAGGGTGGGCCTGGGAACGCCAGCAATTACAGATATGGTTCCACGCTCCTCAAAACCTCCTGATCAGAGGCCTTGCTGTTGGATGTAGTTTATCGTCTTACCCAGGACGCGGATATAGTTTATCGTCATACACAGGACGGGGAAGGTCCAGACATACAGACAGATGGCAATTGGCGTTGCATTTAAATTTTTGAAGATCGTAGGCGGCAGGGAATCAAGACGTCGGAAAAGAGTTCAACTGGCGAGAAGTTCAAGAAAAGAAACTATTAGAAGAGAACATACGTTTGTATCTAACTAAATTTATGCAGTCGAGGCACCAAGGGAGAATGCTCATCAGAACAATTGCCATGAAAATATTTGTAGAAAAGACAGAGAGAAGCCACGTCACGGCGGTGAGAGAGTGACTGAAGTCGAGATGTCAAAGCTAGGTCGATTACATTATCCAAACATTCTTTGAATTTTGTTAAGAATCTCGAAATACATAGTAGGAGTGCTAGACCAGATAATGCCGAAATATTCAATGCATTTATGATATTTTTTTACACATAAATGTTCTAATAATTTCTTTTCAACCCCCGTACAGTAAGATGAATATTACAAGATTAATTTGTTTTGTCTTTTTCGTTTTTTTTTATTTTGTTTTTTTTTTTTTTTGTAATGAAACTTATGTGGATTTTATTTTTAATCATCCACTTTTTAAAAAAAAATGGACGCAATATCAAGACATTCTGATATAGCATTGTTTTTTCTTTCTTTCTTTTTTAATCCTTGTTTCTTCACACGACTTCTCTTTGTTTTACTCAATCTTTTTGTTATCTTCTAGCCAACTTCTTTTCTGTAATCAACGCTTCCTGTCTCTCGTTTAGGGAAGTGGAGAGACACGTCAACAGTTCCTAACCCCCGGGGCTACATCTTTCTTTCACCCCTCATCGAGCTAAGCAGTTAACAAAGTTTTGATAGGCTTGCGAGGGGTCATTTGGTGTGCAAGGATATATTTGGTGACCGTTCATCGTTCAAAAACCAAAGGCCCCGGATTCGGACAGGGTAGTAATAAAGGTCTGAAGTTCAAGTGTTAATTACTGAAATATTTCGAGGTTCAATGCGGACATTTCTAACAAAAGTCATTAGCAGTGTACCGCAAAAAAAGCTTTGCCACATTGGCAGCGCCCTTGACCAAAAGACGTGTTACGCTTAGTAAATATGAATATTTAATAAAATTTTGAGCTTGAATAGATTCATCAATAATCTATGGTTTAATGATTACAAAAAAAACAAACATTTATTTTACATAGCAAATATTTATTTTCAACGCAATATCTTCCCTTTTTAGGTATTTTAGGAGACATTATTGTTTGAAAAGATATATATACTGTAGAAAGAATAAAGTTCATTATTTACATTATTCGAACTATTGTCCTCATCTTTGTCGCCATATTTATTACAACGTTTCGGCCGTTGTACGCTCCGGCCTTCTTTAGGTGGTTGGGATGTCGAACTCGAACTGAACCCTTTATTTCCCTCCATATTACTGGTTCCCATATTGTATTCATTTCTATGCTTGGTCGGATCAGGAGATTTTTGTGACTGATTCCTTAAGTTTACGAATTTTCTAATGATGTTCTTTGTCTATGATCTCAACCTGATCCCACAGAGGGCGGTGACAGGACCCAAAGAGTGTGAGTTCAATACCGAGTTAAGGCGGTGGAGAACTTTGAGAGGGGAATTAACAGGAGACAGCTGATAACTGACATCCATTAGACATGGCACGTGGAACTAGATCTGTCTACCCCAGTGAGCGAAATAAATGGTTCAGTTCAACATTCCAACCACCTGAAGAAGGCCGGAGCGTAAAACGACCGAAACGTTGTAATAAATGTGGCGACAAAGATGAGGACAATAGTCCGAATAATGTAAATAGTGTACATAATACCTCATCTCAGGAATATAGACAGATACTGAAAGGCCAAAACGTTGTAATAAATATGTCAACAAAGATGAGGACAATAGTTCGAATAATGTAAATAGTGTACATAATACCTCATCTCAGAAATACAGACAGATACTGAAAAATAAAGTTAATAACTATGGTTGTAATTCAATTCTTTTTATGCATCTGTCAGTATTTATACATGTTTTATATTACATTGATCATTCATAATATATTACTATGTCTGCGTTTCATATGATCATATTATTGTTGTATGACGTGGGCAATGCAGTTTTGAAAGATTATCGATTTTCCATCCTCGAAAATCAAACTTTCATACAATGTCTCATGTTGCTGCAAAGTTCAATGTGTGAAACGCAGACACAGCCACAGATGTTGCCTGTCCCAATGAAGTTGATGAAGCTGTAGTGGCCCCCGATGTTTGTACATCCTCCTTGTTCTCTTGGCCTATCTGTTATGAGCCAAAGTGGTCTCATATGTCAACAGCCCACTGTGCATTGATTGCTTTCAATGCAGTGTTGAGCGATGTTTTCCCAAGTGGCAGGGCTGATATCAAGATCAGTATGAAAATAGCAATGAGTTTATGAAAGTATTTATGTGAAGAACCAAAACAAAACAAAAAAAAATAAAGAATTCAAACTGAATTAAAAGGGACAAGGACGAAATTTCTAAATATCAAAAACTATCACCGTATTTTTCAACATCAATTAAAAGTTTGTCAACAGCTACATCAGAACGAACCATGTAAGTGATTGAACCCAGAAATAATGCACTGTGTGAGAGTTCGGTCCAGTAATACCCAAAAAACACGGAAAAAAACGAAACAAGAAAAAGCAACAGAATACAAATTCAATGATTTAAAAAATACAATGACCTCGCAAACAGGAAAATGATTTCATACATAAGGCTTTATACATCGGTTCATTTATATTTATTTATGTCTTACATCGGTTCTTTTTTTTATTTTATACATAAGGCAATACATTGGTTTTGGGTTGGGTTTTTTTTTTCACATTTCATGTATAAGGCAACACTTCGGTTTATTTCTTTTCATAAGGCAATATATAGGTTTCGTAAAATCATGATTATGTATATATCAAATCCAGCGGAGTTTACGAGGAGAAAGACAGAAGATTCTCAAACAAATATTAACAAACAAAAAAAAAAAAAAAGAAAAATAGTTAAGAGATCCTGGTTAGTTCACTCAAAGAACAAAGGTTATATATACTGTTCTGTTTGAAAACTTTTCTAAATGCCAAACATCGCTTGAAAAAGATGGATTTTCTGACTAAATGTATCTACTCTGATGTTTAGCGAATCATAAAGACATTATGAAGCCTAAGAGGATAATGTTGTGTTTGTTAACAACTGGCATCTCGTCTACAGTCACTTTCTCACAGACATGCTGTGGTTTCTCTCTGTCTTTTCTACAAATATTTTCATAGCAAGTGCTCTGATGAGCTACTTTCACTGGTATCCCAACTGCATGAATTTAGGCGTGCTACTAGCTTGGCATCTCGCTTCCAACCTTTCACTGTCGAAACGGTTAAATGTAACCGTCTCTTCTACTCCAACAGCTTCTAATCTCGCACTTCTCGACAGTGGTACTCCCTTCCTCTTGCTTGATTCCCTGATAACTACAATCTATATATAAAAAAAATAAATATATATATATATATAAAAATAAAAAATCTATATATAAAAATATTCAAATATAATGTCAATCGACATCTTCTGATGCCTTGATCCTGATCCCCGTCCTTCTCTTTATCCTTTCTTCAAACACCCCCTCTTTACTCTTGCTCTCACTCACTGTAACCCCTTGCGTGCTAGAGGCACCCCCGCCTTGTTTGGGGTGAAATGCTTAAAAAGAAAATGTTTCCTCTCCTCTTTCAATTTAATCTGATTATTAAAGTAGCCATTCTTCTATATTATTCTACCTCTGTCCCATAATGATTGTTCCATTTAGTCTATGAAATTTGTACGTAAATGGAACAATCATTATCGGTTTCAGATTGGGGAACTCCTTCCTCCTACTTGCTTCCTTGATAGCTATAATCTTCAAATATTCAAATGCAATGTCAATCGACATCTTCTGATTCCTTGATCCTGATCCCCGTCCTTCTCTTTATCCTTCCCTCAAACACCCCCTCTTTACTCTTTCTCTCACTCTCTGTAACCCCTTGAGTGCTAGTGGCATTCCAGCCTTGCTTGGGGTGAAATGCTTAATAACAAAGTTAAGTAAAACACTATGGTTCAGAAACTGGAGGAAAAAAATGTTATATTTGACCCTTTTTTATATCTCATTCCTCTTATGCCTTTTTTTTTATCTCATTCCATTTTTACCGTTTTTACCTTTCATTCAACTTGTGCCTTTTTTCTCTCATTCCTTTTGTGCTTTTTTCCTCTCATTCTATTTGGGGCTTTTTACCTCTCATTCCAGTTGTGATTTTTACCTCTCAATCCACCTCCGCCTTTTTTATTTCTTCTTCCATTTATACCCTTTTTACCTCTCATTCAATTTGTACCTTTTTTCTTCTCATTCCATTTATGCCTTTTTCTTCTCATTCTATTTTTGTCTTTCAAAACTCATTCCATTTGTGTCTTTTTTCTTCTCATTTTATTGGTGTCTTTTTATACCTCATTCCATTTTTGCATTTTTAACTCACACTGCTTCTGTGCCATTTTTATCTCTCATTCCATTTTGTACCTTTTTTACCTCTCATCCCACTCGTGTCTGTTTTATCTCTCATTACAGCGGTGACTTTTTACATTCCATGTGTGACTTTTTTATCTTTCATTCCATTTGTGTCTTTTTTATCTCATTCCATGTGTGCCTTTTCTCCTGTCATTTCATTTGTATCTTTTTACTTCACATTCCATTTATACCCTTTTCCTCTCATTGCATTTGTGCCTTTTACCGCTCACTTCACTTGTGCCTTTTTTACCTGTCATTCCTTTTGTGCCGTTGTTACCTCTCTTTCCAATTGTACCTTTTCACCTCTCATTCCACTTGTACCTTTTTACCCCTCATTACATTTGTGACTTTTTACCCCTCATTACATTTGTGACTTTTTACCCCCCACTTCACTTGTTTATGTTTTATCTCTCATTTCACCTGTGCTTTTTTACTTCTCATTTCATTTATACCTTTTTTTACCTACCATTCCATTTGTGTCTTTTTACGTTTGATTCCACTAGTGCCTGTTTTCCACTCATTCCATTTGTGACTTTTTTTAACCAAACATTCTATTTTTGTTTTTTCTTTTCATTCTATCTGTGTCTTTTTACCACCCCTTCCACGTGTTCCATTTTTACCTCACATTCTTTTTGTGACCTTTTTACCCCTCATTCCATGTTTTCCTTTCTACCTCTCATTCCATTTTTGTCTTTATACCTCTTATTCCACTAGTCTTTTTTCCCTAATTCTTTTCATGCCTTTTCCCTCACATTCCATTTATTTTTTTTTTACCTCACATTCAATTTGTGCCATTTTTACCACTCATTTCACTTCGCCTTTTTCACTTGTGCTTTTTTACATCCCATTCTACTTCTTACCTCTCATTTCATTTGTGTCTTTTTACCTCTTATCGCACTAGTGCATTTTTCCTTTCATTCCATTTCTGTATGTTTCAATTTGTGCCTTTTTACCTCCCATTCCATTTGTGCCTTTTTTTCTTCTCATTCCACTTATGCCTTTTTATCTCTAATTCCATTTATACTTTTTTTACCTTTCATACAACTTGTGCCTTTTTTACCTGTCTTTCCATTTGTGTCTTTTTACCTCTCATTTTGTTTGAGTTTTTTTTCTCTCATTCCTTTCATGTCTTTTTGCCTTTGTTTCCATTTGTGACTTTTTTGACCTCCCATTCCATTTGTGACTTTTTTCGACCTTCTATTCCATTTGTGCCTTTTTACCTCTCATTCCATTTAATTTAATTTCATATCTGCTGATCGCTTCCTTTATTGTGATGTCGTTGGTGGCTAAATTCGTTGCTAACCTGCATGTTGAAGACTCGAAGCTTCTACTTTTATCAAAATACGCTTCCGTCATACATACCGTTTGGCAGTTTGACTTTGCAACTGTTGGTTCAAGATGACAGAAATGTGCGGATGACGTGAATTTATTTAAGTTGAACCTCAGCTTGTCAGGAAATGACCCACATCCTTCAATTTATGACCTTCATCTGCGGCACATATGGAATGAGACATGAAGAATTCAGCTATGAAACTGAAACGAGTGACATTGACTCTCTTATAATTTCGAGTGGCGCCTTCTGTAGCATATCTGTCATGCGTAGCCCTCTTCATCCACTGGTTCAACCGTTGAAATCTGTTGTAATTGCCATCCGCTAGTTCCACCGTTGAGGTTTTTGGAGTTGGTTGCGCTTAGTCTGGGTCATCGTCTTCGACCTTGCCGTCAAGGGTGGCTCTACCAGGAGTTTAGAACTCCCGATAGCATCTCTCTCAGAACCATCGGACCACGCAAGTCCTTCAAACAAGGAGCGACTATCAGAGGTGTGTGTGTGGAAACCTATTTTAATTCAACGGTTATAAACTTATTTATCTACAAAGCCAATTGCGGTCTAAGGGTTTCTTTAACGAAATATTTCCAGCACAAACAATTCTAGCAACGAAGCTCCTTCATATTCATTTTTTAACATCAAAATAGAAATGAAAATAAGTTAGAAACAAAAATATATTTCTATGTTAGCAGAAGATTCCACTAGATAGAGATTGGCAATTGGCCTATCTACCTACATCCCACATACACAGACACACACGCAAACATACGTACAAAAATATCAGCTTGAAATGACAGCAGTAACAATAACACAGAGCCTTTTGTATCTTGGAAAGAAGGTTTACACAGGCCCGGGCGCCTGAGTGATTTAAGATGGGCGCTGTCGTTTAAATGTGAGGGCCTCGAGTAAAAATTTGCATACTAAAATTAGTTTACGTCATATTTACGGGTGGTGGGTAGACAAATAATTTTCTGAGGCAGATAAAGCGGGTCCTTCAAACCCTTTTTGCAATAGGCCTTGCGTTACATCTGTTTCAGACAAAATGTTCTTTATTACTTGTCATTTTTATACTGGTTTGATTGATTTGTTTTTACGACTTATCAAACCCAAAAAAGGTTGATAAAGCCGAAACATATTTTTGGATTATAAGAATATTTTTTCTTTTTGCAAATGAATATTACATTAAAAATTTTTATAGATAATTTTTATATTAATTTTAATATTCATTTAATATTTATTTATATAAATATTCATACAGATATTTATATAGATATTTTTATAGATATTTATATAGATATTTTTACAGATATTTATATAGATAATTATATAGATATTTTTATGGATATTTACATAGATATTTATATAGATATTTTATAAACACTTTTATAGATATTTTTATAGATATTTATCGATATTTTTATAGATATTTACATAGATATTTATATGGCTATTTTTATACATATTGTTGTAGCATACCTACGGACGATAACAGGTATGTCCCCATTTACATAAATACAGTAGTAAATACCGTATGTTGGTCTAGAGTTGGAGATTCTTTGTGGAATTCACTTGACTCACTTCCAGCAGTTGACTACTACTTCTACGCGCCGCTGGCAGATCTTATATGTGTTGTTCGTGTCCAAAGAATTATCGTTCATTACCAACTTTTGTGTGATTATTCGATTCAGCAACTTTCCCTAGGGTACAACACATATTTATATAGATATTTATATTAATATTTATATAGATAGTTATAAAACTATTTATATAGATAGTTATAAAACTTTTTATATAGATAGTTATAAAACTATTTATATAGATAATACTGTTTTTACAAGTCCTACTGTTTAATCCATGTAGAAGCGATAGCTTTTTACCTTTCGCAGAGTTATCTGCGCGTAAATGAATATAACGAACCCGATTCCCATTCTTGACCGTTGTACATTACATCATCCGCACATCCAAGATAACAGCGTCTGATATGCCCAAGCGGTCACCCAGCTAGATACTGACCAGGCTCGGCGTTGCTTAACTTTGGTCATTCGACGAGAATCGTTGTTTCAACGTAATATGATCGTAAGCCTTTGGTACAGGAAGTATCATTAATTTGTGTATAAGTTCTTCTGCTATTTGTCTACAAAGGGAACTCTGTTTAGATACATGTAAAATCTACGATATTCAGGTTGTATAAATATCAAATCCTTCGATGTCTCCATTGATTAGCCTCCTTATTCTTTTCATCATCATCATCATCATCATCAAGACTGTTTCGATTTGAGGTCATGAATTAACATGTTCTCTCATCTTCAGTGACATTTTATACTGATTCGACAATATTTTGACAGCCTTCTCTCTCCTCTGTGAGTTTACGGATTCGTTACAGATCTTCCTTGATTGTAAACTTCTCCAAAGGAAAAGTGGGATTTTTCTGCTTAGTTCTTTGAATGTCTTGGTTCAACGTCGTGACTATGGTGGTTCTTGGATGATCTCTGAACTTTTTGAAGTCAGTCTTTTCAAAGTAAAACTCCGTGACTTTGTTAGCTGGGCATTCTGGATCCATTTGCAAATTATGTCCAAGAAGTATATCATAACGTTGGAAGTTCAATAGCATTTTCAGAATATTGTCTTTCTCAGTATGCAACGTCTTAAATAAATAGTTACTGCCTCGCAGTAACTGGAGCAGCCATTACCTACTCCGAGAAACTTTTTCTTTCTTTTCTTTTCTTTTTTTTTCTTTTTTTTTTTTTTCATTCTAATTATTATTCAAATCTAGCGGATCGTTTGTTATATCCATGACGTGTCAAGTGCCGATAGGTTATTAACTGCTTTGTTGGCTTGGCGGGCGTTTGCAATGTAATGCAAACGCCCGCCAAGTGCTTTCACCGCCTACTAATGATCGTACAGTCTTTGACGTGTAGAGTTATTCGGTCTTATTAATTAAGCGGGTGTACATTGGCTCGCTTGGGCGTGGCGTGCTGAAATCTGGATCTAGTGGGCTGCTTGTGTTGCATTATAGACTGAAACAGGTAATTAAGTTGCACAGAAAATGTAGAAAAGAAAAATAAGAATGGAAAATGAGAAACAAATGATAAACATTCCCTGTCGAAAAAAAGTATCCTTTACTTACAACGCTGTATACGAACACATAATCCCACACACAAACATTTATACGCACACCCAAACATGCACGCACACATATTTATTAATATGCAACACAATACGCATATAGTTCTATTCATACATATTTATTTACATATAGGTATTAATATATTAGGTTGAGTCATAATAATTACCATTTTTGTTTATTTTTATTCTTTCAGCAGTTCAACCCAAGCAAGGCGATAATGCCACTAAGACGCAAGTCGGTTTCTGCAAGTGAAAGAGAAGAAAAAGACTTTAGAAGGAACCGGAAACCCAAACATAAACAGGAATCAAAAGATAAACCTTTATTCCTGCTCAAAAGGGCGTGTGAAGTGGATGATAGGTGAACCTACCTACTTCTATTGAGAAAAATTTTTTTAAATAAATAGTAAATGAAATTTCAGGGTTGAAGAGGAGACGTTAGAAGTATAGAATCGAAGCTGATATTCAGAAGAATCCAGTAACCCACTCCTAAACAGGGAACAAAGGATAAACCTCTACTCCTGTTCAAAAATGAGAGAGGAGTGTGACCAGGAAGATAGTCGAACCTATCTACTCCTATTAAGAAAAACAAATAGTAAATAAAGTTTCGAAATTTATGCTTAAACATTATAAGTTGAGAGCTGAAGTAGAATTTAGAAGGAACGATCATCTTTATTCTTAAAAAAAAAAATTACACTTTATTCAATTATAGATTCATTATTATTTGTAATGACTTTTTGCCACTTATCAGGCAGTTCTTCGATACCTTTTTTCAGTAAAATTCCGCAGGTTTCGATGTAAAAAATTTGTTCGACAAATTCTTGAACTTGGTTTTCTTTAGGGAAAGTTTTCCCCATTAAAAAGCGAGAGAGGAGAATATGGCGAATGGAATATGATAGACCAACCGAGTTCCAATTTACTTTTCCTTCTATGTTTTTTTTAGGTGAGGTCAGGCTTAGACCTGCTACAGGTAACATGTAACCCAGGAGAACCTGACACATTGATGAGTGCTTGGCATCTAAACCAATTTAATTAAACAAAATGACCTATCAAATTTATGACTAGAAGATTTACCACGTTTTTAACTTCAAGACCATTTCTTTTGTCAGAATAAATTATGTTAATTACAGAAAAACCCTCTTTCAGCCTCCGCAGAACTTATCGCAATGCTATTAGCTATTATATATCGGCTACTAATATATGAGATTATTTTAGGATAGGTGCGTGACATGTTATTCCATAGGATGAAAAACAAGACCTGTAAAAGGGTGGATGAGCCTCTTATAGGTTTGGTTTATTTTGTTTTACAGCATATCAACCTCAGTGGGTTATTTAATGCCGACAACATTTTTAGGATAGATTCGTATGACTAGAGTATGTATTCTTTGGTTTAGATTGGTTTGGTTTATTTTGTTTTGCGGCATATCAACCTCAATGGGTTATTTAATGCCGACAATTTTTTATTGCTGGTAATATTTTGTTTTGTCAAAAATCTGTTTCTTGTAACACTTTTCCTTCAAAATTGTATTGCTGGTAATATTTTTTTTTGAAAAAGTATTGCTGGTAATAGTTAACTATTTTCCCATAGCTGGGACCCTAACAGGTGCTACCACTCCGGGTCAGGGTGAACACCAGCAATTTGGTTCCACGCTCCTCAAAACCTCCTGATCAGAGGCCTTGCTGCTGGACGTACACAGGACGCGGATGTAGTTTAACGTCTTACCCAGGACAACTTCTCATAGAAGCCAACGGCCAAGGTCTACAAGCCTCAAGGAAGGGTGGTCCTCGCTAATAGTGGCAGTTTTCATTTGCTTGAAGCTAGTAGTGGGTAATGGGTGGAAAGCATTTATTAGAATAAAAATCTCGTCTATTTTAAATGCAAAATATACTTTTAAATTAAAAACTGTAATCCCGTATTATATGGACTGTTCCAACATTACGTTAACCAGGTAATTTTATTAAAAATTTAAATTACGTAACGGTCAATCTACACGCAGCACATGAAGATTGGGTTGTGCATGAAACTCCGAGTCGTGCTACCGGTGAGGGATAATATGTATATTTATTAATGTATACTTAATAGGTCTGTTATGTTACATCAGGCACTGTTTTATTACCTCAGCACTCCATATGCGATATATATATATATATATATATATATATATATATATATATATATATATATATATATATATATATATAAGTCTAGGACTGAATTTTAAGCTTTGAATGACCATCTTCCTAGAGACGTTGTCTCGTTAAAAACATTTGGTGTACCGTTACTTCAACACCTACAGAGTCAATCTGTTGTTTATAACACAACTATGTTGAGCAGACCTTAGATTTTCTGGGAAAGAGCGCATAATCTGGCGTGATCAATAGTTGAATAATGAGTGCAATCGGATCGTCGGACACAATGTCTTGTGATTTCGGGGGCTGGCATAAACATCGACGGCTTTTAAACTGTTTTCGTCTATCCAATTTAATCCTCACACATACATTGTAGACGCACCTGGTAGATAAAAGGTCATCTCTCAGCTCAACCCGCTGATGCATCTAGTGCATATGAGCTGAATCACATACAACAGATATTATCTGCGTATCACTTCATAAATATACAAAGTTTATACAAAATGTTACAGCTATTTTGGCAAGATCATTTATTCAACTAAATTATTATCAACCATCAAAGCATTTTCCCTGTTTTTTTATGACCTCTTCCACCTTTCAGCTGAACTATGTGCTCTGTCATAAAAGAACGATTCCGGTTTTAATTCTTCGGGGGACTTTTCGATAACTTGAACTGCATTGTGAAAAAGTCATAGTCTGAAATTGACATATCGGGAGAATGTCGCATCAAAAAAAACAAACATCCGCGTCCCATACACAATAATCCTATGCGTCGGGTCGTATTTGCCACGTGAGCTGACGTTGTCACGCAACACAGCTACTAGTCAATTTTCTTTACTTAGAAAAGGGTCTTATCTGTTGCAATGCGTCATTCAAACGAGCCAATTGCTTACTTTGGCGTTAGACAGTAGCAGATTATTGAGTTTCCAGAAGTTGGTAATATAATATTCCTTTTCATCAAGAAAAAAGGGTGTGTAAATGGTGTGACGGTTATTGGCACAGAAACTAGAACCGCCGAATTAAGTTCGAATTTCGTCTGAAGCAGTTTGTGTTCACTTCACACTAATGTCCTTGAAGTTATGAAATCATCTCTTTCCCCCTTTTCCACCTGTGCGTAAAATAGAAAGGCAAACGGTGTTCTCTAGCCTTAAAGGGATCCGAAAATATTCAAGCTTTATGGGCCCGAAAATATTCAAGCTTAAAGTGATCCGAAAATATTCAAGCTTAATGGGCCCGAAAATATTCAAGCTTAAAGGGACCCGAAAGGGACCAGTCTAGGAGAAGCTTCACCACCTCGTAACTTACTAATGAAACAGCAGCTACATCACATAAGCTGATATCGTTGCGGCCTATATGCTCCACAGGAAATCTACAGCTTCAAGAGGAATCGGTTCTGCTTGAATTATTCAGCGCTTAAGGGGCCAAAAAATTTTTAAGTTTAAGGGGCCCGAAAATAGTCAAGCCTAAAGAGACTCGTAAATATTCAAGCTTAAAGGGGCCCGAAAATATTCAAGCTTTATGGGCCCGAAAATATTCAAGCTTAAAGTGATCCGAAAATATTCAAGCTTAATGGGCCCGAAAATATTCAAGCTTAAAGGGACCCGAAAATATTCAAGCTTAATGGGCCCGAAAATAGTCAAGCCTAAAGAGGCTCGTAAATATTCAAGCTTAATGGGCCCGAAAATATTCAAGCTTAAAGTGATCCGAAAATATTCAAGCTTAAAGTGATCCGAAAATATTCAAGCTTAATGGACCCGAAAATATTCAAGCTTAAAGTGATCCGAAAATATTCAAGCTTAAAGTGATCCGAAAATATTCAAGCTTAATGGACCCGAAAATATTCAAGCTTAAAGCGGCTTGAAAATATTCAAACTTAAGTGATCCGAAAATATAGTCTACAACTGCTACGTTTGTGTTCTACAATTCTTTGCGGTTCCAGATATTTTTCCAGTCTTTTTTTTTTCCTTTCTTTCAATATCCGTCTGTTGTCTACTCGAACACTGTTTTTTTTTTCACGAAGACGGTGATGGTGGCGATATTTTAACTCGGTTTTATTCAAATAAAATCTACACTGTAGTTACTGTTATTGGGGCTTGAAAAAAAAAATCAACTTTTTTTTCCAGTTATGACGCGAACGAACTATCAAATGATTAAGTACACCTGAGTCCCCGTTTACATTTTCACAATGGACAATTCCAGGTGATCTAAATCGTATTTTTGTTCTTTACCTAAAACTCTCTCTTTCTTTCTCTCTCACTCTCTCTCTCACTCTCTCTCTCACTCACTCTCTCTCTCTCTCTCTCTCTCTCTTCCTCTCAATCACTATATCTCTCAAAAACTGACTTTTGATGAGATGACCCTTTTGTTATTATGTTTTATGACACGATTCAGAAGTTAGGATTAATAATTTTCCTTCTTTATTTGGTCTGCAAAAATTCATATACAGCTTCAACTGCAATTCTGCTATTGTAACTAATCTTTCAATTATTTTGCTAGTAAGGGTCATTTTCTGTAGGACAGGGGTTAGAACACTATCTTGCGAGTAAGGTTTATTTGCCGTAGAGGTTCAGTCTGTTAAATGTCATACAATGTGATACACGTTTGGGCGATCATGTCTCTTTCGATTCATGACTGACTAGACAAAAGATTTTCGCGCAGTAGGTTGCCGTTTCTTTCTGCTGTAGACTGGTTGCCAACCAAGGCTATAGGACTCAGTCTGTTCTGCTATTCAACCATGATAACAACATTCATTTTTATAATAAAAATAGCAGCAATATATTTTTTATATAAAAATAATTATTAACAATACCTACACTATAGTTCAAAAGTTTGAGGTGACTCATGGTAATTTTTTAAATTGTCCCCCAAAATAGTTGTTTCGTACTTTAAATAAGAGATAATTATTATAATTATTATAGATGATTAAAAATAAGTGAGCCGTGATTTTTTTATTAGAAATTTTATTATGACAAAAAGAAAAAAAGCATAGCTAAGTTACTGTCAATCAGCAGCTCAACCATTACATTCGTCTTAGTTTGAATTTTATATATCGATAAAACATGAAGTGTTTAATCATTTGCAACATACTAGATAGATAGATAGATAGATAGATAGATAGATAGATAGATAGATAGATAATGTGGACATAGGAATCAACACTTTATGATATCTGTCAGTTTCACGATTCATTTTATGGTATGAAGGTCACATTGAAACGTGAAACCGATAGTCACCACTCAGTGCTGATACCTATATCCACATTGTCTATATCTATCAAGGTTTTATCCCCAATAATGAGCACTTTTCTCCCTATAATTATAGGAAAGTATATGTGTGTGTGCGTGTGTGTGTGTAAAACGTCTACTACTCACTTTTCAGCACACCTGCCAGGTACATATTTTTGTTTTATTTTTCCAACGCTCACTAGAGCCTACCTGTGTTTGATATTGCAACTATGTTAAGTGGACCTTAGTTACAGTTTATGGTGGAGAATGCATAATCTGGCGTGTTGTCCAGTTTGAAAAAGACTTGTACGCTCAAACCCTCGATCACGATGACTTGTGACTTCTAGTTAATACAGCTTGAACAATTCTGGCTACACAATTTCATAGTATAGGCACGCGGGGATCGTCTTCAGAAGCCGATACCATCATGAAGTTACCTTTTTGACATATCAATGATGGAGATTGTTCTAACCATCCGTCTATATTCTTTTTCTCTTCAAAGAAAACACTTACCAAGAAAATGTTTTCTGCATAAAAGAAAAGAAAAAGAATCGTACCACTTTGATGGTAGTCTGCAGAATTCGCCTATTTATAAAATTAGGTACATCCAAAAATTCGCTAAAAACGAAAGTAGATGATTAAAAAATGCACGAAATATAATAAAAACAAAATTTAATTACCAAAACCTTCGTGTTAATATTAAAAACAAAGACCAAAGGAGTTTTATGTAAAAATTATTTTTTTATCCTTTTTAGAACCGTAGAAATTTTGGTTAAAAATCTTTTTTTTTTTTCTGTCGTCAACGCGGACCATAAATTCGTGTTGGAAATTTGAGCGATTTTTAGCAGTGAAAATAAAATTTTGCAAAAATCAAATAATTGTCAAATTTTACTGTAACTTTCAAAACTTATTCACAAACTACTTTTTAAATATTTCTTCTTTTTTTTTAGAAGATATTTCTAAAAATATTTTTTTACATCTGTTACATCCCCACCCACGCCACTTATTTAATTTTACGAAATTTCGAGAAATTCTTTTTTGTATTGCTTCTTGTTTATATTATCTACAAGGGCAGGTCCTCGAAGGATTTAAATCATCAAATTCTTTTGGTCAATCAGGACCCCTCCCCCCAATTACAGAATATCTGCGCATAATCGTAAAGTAAAAATACAATGAAACTAAGATATTATTTAATTAGAAAAGCTTTTAATTGCTTTATGAATAAAATATATTATTGTTGTAACCCAGGGAAGGTTATTGAATAAAATAATCAAACGAAGGTTGGTAATGAACGATAATACTTAGGACAAGAACAACAAAATATAAGATTCGCCAGCGGTGCGTAGAAGTAGTCAACTGTTAGAAGTGAGTCAAGTGAATTCCACAATGAATCTCCAACTGCAGAATATCTACCAGCCGCCTTACGCGGTCAGATGTGGCACAAGGCCGAATTTAATGTGGGTCCATAGGTTCGGCCAAAAATCCCCCGTAGTCCCCGTTAAAACGGAGTCTGTTTCCCGAGACGAGACTCTGCCCTTCGACATGACCTCGTCTGGGAATCTTTCTGCCCAGAGGCAGAGAGTTTGACCAGCACAGCTGGAGACGAATCTCCAACTGCAGGATATCTACCAACCGCCCCACACAGTCAGATATGGCGCAAGGCCGAATTTAATGTGGGGTACCCGAGCCCGTAGGCTCGGCCAAAAATTCCCTGTAGACCCCGTATAAAAGTATTTTGCTTATTGGAAATGTTAAATTTAAACTATTAGATTGGAATTTAAACTAAAATAAGAAAGATTTCAAGAAAGATTTTCATTTTTAAAATGCATTAAAACTTAGCTATCACTTTTTACGTACCTGTAAAATAAAAGATTACTGCATAACATAAATAAATCGTACTACTTCGATAGTCGACTGCAAATTCGTCTATTTATAAAGCCTATGATACAAAGTATAAATACTTATTTCTGCTCGAGGGTGTTGGCTCGTATATGCTTTCCTGTTTTTTTTTTCTATCATTTCTTGACACATGCACACACACACACGTACAAACACTTACACACATACACTCAGCGACATAGAAGGACACTCCTTATCTATTCTTTACCAGAAAACTATCACCCATCATCTTTACCCTTCGTATTGTTAGCACGCAAATTAAAGATGTCTTCTTTTTGTACGTCGATCTGCCCAAAAGTAAATTAAGAAAAAAAGAAATCTTGAACGACGGACAGAGCCCCAGGGCCCCTAAATGGCCGTCGTCGTAATTAAAAAAAACAGTGGCTCCGTTTTTTGCTCAATTACTCATCAGTCTTTGTGACAATAGGTCGGGAGTCGGTATGGCAAAGTAGGCGCTTCTTTGCGCCGAATTAGTTTCTTTTTTTTCCTTCCGTCACAGAGGCTAATTACACGAAGGAAGCAGCCGACAGACGACAGCGGCCATTATTGAAGAGTCAAAGGCGGGAAAATGTCTTTTGTTGATTATCTTCTTAAATGCTACCTCGACATCTCCATTTTGATAATCAACGTGCGTACGAAAGCTGAACACGGATAAAAACAAACACACACACACGCAAACACACAAGAATACGCACAAACACACTTACATACATGTAAATGCGAAAGAAATACAGTAAGTATATATATATATATATATATATATATATATATATATATATATATATATATGCCTACCGGAATGAAAATGTCTCTAGCCTGTTAACGCTGTAATTAAAAAACAATGTAAATGATTGAAACGTAATACATTTAATTTAAAATTAAGGGTGCTCAACTGCTATGTAACATCAATCTTCCTATATTGTAGTGAATAATGAACAATTTCCTCACCGTTGAAGAGGAGAGTTTAGACAGTGATGTGGTTCTACAGAAGGATGATGAAAGTAGAATGGACAGAATATGTGAGCAATGATGAATTTTAAAGGAAAATGTAAACAAAAAAGACACTTTCAATTAGAATCTGAAAAAGGTAGTTGAAATTTCTGGGATATATGAGGAAAGGAGGCTTCGAGAATCTGATATTCACGGGAACTATTGAAAGCAAAAGATGCCGTGGAGAACATCGAGTAACATACTTGACTGAATAGCAGAACAGGTCCTTCGCGAGATACTAGGAGGATAAACATTTCTTAGAGCTACAAAGAGTAGGAAGTTGTGGAGAACTATAACCACCCGCATCTTAAACTGAGACGGCATATAAAAATGAAGAAATAGACCCAAAAAGATATTAAATGTCCGAAATGTGAAAGATCCTTTTCCTCAACTATTTCACAATCTTTCTACCTCTATTTTGATTGATTTGTTTTTTTACGGCTTATCAACCCATTGCTGGTTATTTAAAGCCAGAAAATATTTTAGATTGTAAGAATTTTTTTGGTGGGGGGAGAGGGGTAATAATAATGATTTAGTGATACAAGTCTTATTAATTAACCCATAGCTGGGGAAGAAGTGATGGATTCATACCTTTCTCAAGGGTATTTAGCGTAAGTGAATATGACGGATCTAACTGGAATTTGAACTCGGCTCCCCAATTAACAATTTCAAGCCATTATGCATTACACCACCTGCACATCCAAGCTTACAGCATCTGGTACTTTCAAGCGTTCATCCATCTAGGTATTGACCAGGCTCGACGTTGCTTAACTTCGGTGATTGTACAGGAACCGGTGTGTTTAACTGCGATATGGCCGTAAACCCTTCAGCCCTCATTTAGCTTTGTACTGTAGAAAAAAAAAAATTATATTATCACGAATAAAAAAAACTACTTTTAAATTTATCACTAGTTTAACAATGCCATAAAAAGGATAATAGTTTGTCAAATCTTCACTATTATTAAAAGTTTTTTTTTCATTTATTCTTGTATTCTTTCATGTAGTCGCTGTTTTGGCCTACAGACTTCATAAATGTCTTTGAATAGTGATAACTATGGTACATCTAAATTTACAAGCATTACAAGCAGGTCAAAACGGAAATGAGCTTAGCAGTAAAAGGAATCAGTCAATTTTAGGACAAAAATTATTCAAATCGTCCGGATACTTCTGCTGATTAATAAATTATATAAATCTAATCCATTACGACTGAGTAATGAGAAGGCAACTGATAAACTAAGCAATAAAGATCTATTAGAACTGCTCAGCAACCTGAATTAATTTTGGAAGGATATTAGAATAATCAATAACTTATATTAGCAGCAAACCAGTTGCATATGAATTGAAAATGATTTTATCAGATATACAAGAATAAAAAAGGGTGAAAGACAAGGATGTGTCTTCTCACCGGACTTATTCAACCTATACAGCCAGGAAATTCTGAGAGAATTAGATGAATTACCGGGATTCAATATTGGCGGCTACAATCTTAACAATATAAAATATGCAGATGAAACAGTGTTGATAGCAGACATAGAAACAAAACTACAAAAAAAAAAAAACAACTCCTACAGAAGGTAGTGAAGGAAAGCGAGAAGAAAGGATTAAACATCAACTGCAAAAAGACATGGTTGTTATTAGCAAAACGATGGACACAAGATGCAAATTAGAAATCAATCAAACACAAAATATCCGGGAAATGTTCTAACAGAGAACGAAAAATGTGACACTGAAATCCAAAGACGCATTGGGATAGACAAAGATGCTTTCCAAAAGATAAGCAGAGTATTAAGAGATAGGAAAACATCGTTAGAAACAAAGAAAAGAGTACTACTACGTGATATCTGTCCTACTGTAAGACATTGAATGCTGGAGATTCTCTTCAAAGAGACTTGAAGCAACAGAAATATGCAAAGGATACTATAGACCCGCACATGTGATTAATGACGAAATTTTAGAGAAAATTGAAACAAAAAGGAAACATACTTAACATCAGGAAGATTCGGTTCAAATTTCTGGGGGCACATTATCAGGAAGTGGGGCTTGGAAAATCTGATACTGACAGGACGGATTGAAGGCAAGCGGGACAGAGGAAAACAATTCATAACATACTTGAGATGAGGTATTGTAACTATTTACATTGTTTGAACTGTTTTCTTTCATCTTTATTGTCATACTAGCAGCATAACCCGGCGTTGCCCGGGCTTGATTCAAAAATCGTACGACTCATACAGAAATCGCTATCACTTGACTTAAAATATTTTTGCCCTTCCTTGCCTTTAAAGGAGTGCCCTTGCCGTGCTGATGTTGCTACATGCCTTACTTCTTGCCTATCTCACACTGCGAATCTTTTCTAAGCTCTATACTAAACAGTAAATCTGTTACGAAAAAAGAACTAAACAAAATTAACACAAAACGATCAGCTTTAAAAAAGGACTCGTAACTGGAAAAACCGAATGAAAAAAGAATGTTAACAACAAATACTTTTTCACACCCAACCCAGTTCTGCGGAATCAGAATAAACATTGAGTTTAAGCAAGCGAATGAGCCAATTGGAGTAAAGTGCCATGCAGATTTAAATTTTTTCCACTTGTGACGAATGTAGCTATCGATTTTTTTTTGCATTTTGCATTCTTGTCAGTCAGCTGTTGGCTCTCACGCTGGCCAATAGAATCTTCCTGCCTATTCGTGGCAGCCAGCTATAGGCTCTCACTCTGACCAGTACAAAATGGCCGCAAACTACATGAAAACTGCCGTAGAATCATGAAAAGATCGATTGTTTCCACTATCGATGGGAGTTGTGAAATGCAAGGTCGGTCTTGACCTTCCCGCTAACTTGGAGCATATGCATGTAAATTTTGGTGCAAATCCGTCGAAAATTGCGGCCGTGGATTCGTTACACACACATCCTGCCTTTTATAGATAGAGATTCACGACGTTTTGGCCGTTGTACACTCCGGCCTTCTTCAAGTGATATGCGTTGGAATTTCGAACCGAACCCTTTATTTCGTCCACCAGGATAGATTGTTCTAATTCCACGTGCCATACCTTTTTTGGATATCTCAGTTTCAGTTATTTCCCTTTAGAAACTCAACTCTCCAAGTTTTTGTTCATCAATGCTGTGACCAGGTATTGAACTCACAACTCTTTGGATCAAGTCACTGGATTACTTTGATCAACGCTTCAATCCCCAAGGACACATGGGCTAGTGGTTAAAAACGTTGGTTGAAGTAATTCAGTCAGTTCAATTCTTGGCCACAGCAGAGGTGAACGAAAAACCTGGAGAGTTGAGTTAAAGGAAAATAACTGAGACATCTGGAAGAGGCATGGCACGTGGAACTAGACCAATCTACTTCGGTGGACGAAATAAAGGGTTCGATTCGAAATTCCAACGCATATCACCTGAAGAAGGCCAGAGTGTACAACGGCCGAAACGTCGTGAATATGACAATAAAGATGAGGACAACAGTCCGAACAATGTAAATAGTGTAAATGCTTAAGGAGCTTTAAAAAAAAAAAGGACGGTGAAACAGTGTTTAGAAATAACTAAAAAGACAGAATTTATTTAGAGCTTCAAAGGACATGAAATTGTGGAAAGACCTGAGGGGACACGGCATAAAGAGAGAGAATGTGAGTTCGATCTTCAGTGGGTGCTTCATATTTGTGTCTTTGTGCTTGAGCTCAGCAATGTTGAGTAAACAATTATAAATACGAAATAATAGAAATGATTAACGAAAACATTTTTTTTTTACTTAACCTTCTCTCTTTTCAGGGCTTTGACGATTATGGACCTCCACATCTTCCCGTCCCTTGTAGCTCTTAATAATTGTCCTTTTGTTATTTCGCCCAAACCCTGATCTACCATCCATTAGCTCAAGCCCATCAAATATTTTAGGTACTGTTTTCCTCTGTCTCTCTATCTGTCCTGTAGGTATCAGATTTTCCAAGCCCTCTTTCCTCATTATGTACTCCAGAAATCTCGACTGTCTCTTCCTGATGTTAAATATGAGTTTCATTTTTGTTTCCAAAACATCCTTGTCCCTCACATGACCGGCCCATGGTATCTTCAGCATCTTTCTGTAGAACCACATTCTTAAATAAATAAATTATGCTATTTATTCAGTTATTCAAAATATTCCTGATATGTATTATATATATATATTTGTCTGTCTGTGTGTGTGTGTGTGTGTGTGTGTGTGTGTGTGTGTGTGTGTGTGTGTGTGTGTGTGTGTGTGTGTGTGTGTGTGGACGTAGGAGGGTATTTCCAAGTTTACAAAAATAAAATGTACTGATGTTTGAATAAACGGAAAGCGGGCGTAAACAGAATATAAAAAATATAGAAGAATAACAATGACTCATCAAATCAAAGATGAATAAATAAAAAAAAAAAGATGTTTATCCATACGCCCCCTCAAACAGAATATGGGACAAGGCCGGCTTTAAAGTGTGAATCCCACGCGTACATGAGATTAGCAACAAAAACTGGCCAGTTCTTTCGACACTATTGTGGATGTAGAAACCAACACAGCGTGATTGACCGCCAGTTACACGCTTTAAGCGATTCTCAGATACTACACGTCTGCTTGAAGAACGATGGAAGATCTCCTTTTAAAAATATATTTTTCTCTATTTTTTCTTCAGTTTTGAACATTTTACAAATTGACAGGTCGAATTTGAGCAGACATTGTCCAATGTCTTTTGAGGGTTTTTGGCTTTCACAAATTATTCTTAAAGGATTGATTTCCTTTTTACGGGTTATCAATATTTGCATGTTATTTAAAGACAGAAAACAATTTTTAGAAAGAAATAATTTTCTTTTAGATAATAATAATTTACTGATACGTCCAACTAAATAACCCATAACTGGAGAGGAGCAGAAGAGGTTTATTCATAACTTTGCTCAATGTTATTTGCGCGTAAGTGAATATAATGAAATCAACTAGAATTTGAACTATGCTCTCTTATTTACAATTCCAAACCATTATCCATTACACCACCCGCACATCCAAGCTTACAGCACTAATCTAATTGAAAAGGCTTGACATCGCTTAACATCGGTGATCGTACAGGAACCAGTGTTTCAAGTTGATGTGGTTGCAAACCCCATTCTGAAGTGATTCTATATATATATATATATATATATATATATATATATATATATATATATATATATATATATATATAATTTAAATAAAACAGACCACTTTAAGGTTCCATGTAATAAATTATTTCACCACAGCCCTTGCGGATCATCTGCCAAAGGTTAAAATGAAAAGAAATTTGCACATTTTTGACGGGCCGTATTAAGCATATGTAAATTAACCAAGTCTTCTCTCTCCTCCCCTCACTTCCTCACTTCGTTAAGTGGTCTGTTTTTATTTAAATTATTTGCTCTGGATTTTCATTGAGCTCTCTGGATTTTATCCTCCTTGGGTCTACCCATACGGATTACCTAGTTTTCCATAAACTAACTAACTAACTATATATATATATATATATATATATATATATATATATATATATATATATATATATATATATATATGTTTTAAGTTATGCAATAAACAGCTAAAAAATGCTCAATATCAAGGATAGAGTGAATGTAAATATAAAAGTGGACACTGAGATCAACACCAGCCGCCAGTGTGTTTTATGCTAGAAAGCACTTTTCACGACATCCATCCATCTATATATATGTATGTGTGTGTGTGTGTGTGTGTGTGTGTGTGTGTGTGTGTGTATGCGTGTGTGTGTGTGTGTGTTATAAAGGAGTCGCGTCTGTTGTTTTTTTGGGAGGTACGTATCGTCTTATAACTCAGAAAATA